TTTAAAAAAAAATAGAGCTCTTAAAATGTTTTTAATCGTACTGCTGCGAATTTTCCGTTTTTTTTTACTAATGAGTTAGCTGATGACTGGCCTATTCTAAAGTATTGATGAATGTACTAATACATAAAACATTGATTTTCTACTCCTCTAAACTTTGTTTTTGTTTGGTCTTAACACCCTCTCCTATTTTTTCTGTTTTAGGTAGGATATGTATATTTATATTATGTAAATTTAATTTATACTTATTTATATGTGTTTTGTTTCTTTGTACCGATGAAGGCACATGCCGAAACGTTTACTTGTGTATGATATATAATTATCATTAAAGCATTATTAATATTGTTATATTGACACAATGTGTTCGTGTCTTATTAATCTATTGTAAAAACCAGGCTATTTGTGGAGTAATACAGAGCCAGAGCAAGGAAGACATAAATCATACAAACGATGAAAGTATCTACGAGAATCGTGCAGCTATATATTATACATCTCCAGACCCTAAAAATAGATTTCCCTCAATCCTTCCAAGTGAGTCTAAAAATAATTTTTCGAAAAACCATAACTTTTAGGGTTAAGCATAAATAACGAATTTAAAAAAAAAAATGTTTTGTTTTTTAATAAACTAACCCTTAACTAAATCTAGCAGACTAGCAAAAATGGCGAGACAGAGAACACGCAATAACATTTTTGGCGTTAATGTTTTTACATTGCAGGTAAGAATCATCAAATCCAGCTGGAGTCTCAGGATAATAAATACATCAATGCTGTCTGTATACCGGTAAATTGTTAAGAAAAACCTATACCTTTTAAAAGTTTCATTTCCTTTTAATTCATAACATTTTCTTTTATCGAATTAAAATTCTTGGAACATCAACCCAGTTAATTAAAACAAAAAATTGAATCAAACAGGAAATACATTTCGTATTCTTTCAATAAAGTTGGCCCATTAAATTGACTTAGTACATGTTCGTTTCTACCAGAATGCAATTTTTAAAATGCCGTGAATCTTAGTTCTATCTGGAACTTACTTGTATCTTACTTCTAAATGTAACTGCCATGTATCTTAATTCTTCTTGTTTAAAACAAAGGCAATGTAATCTTACTTCTTGTTTAAAACAAAGGCAATGTAATCTTACTTCTTGTTTAAAACATAGGCATTGCAATCTTACTTCGTGTTTAAAACATAGGCATGTCAATCTTACTTCGTGTTTAAAACAGAGAAAATGTAATCTGACTTCTTGTTTTAAGAAAAGGCAATGTAACTGGAACGGAAATTTGATTGGAAAGAACTTATTCGGACGTTTCCAATGTATTTTTCTTAACCCCAGTTTAACAATTTATGTTATTGAAAAGAGTTTCAGAAATTCACGTAGTCACATCCTAACCCAGCTGCCAATGCCAACAACAGTTGTTGATTTCTGGACGATGGTCAAGCAGCAAAAGGTGTCGCTAGTTGTAGCATTTCAGCTGGATTGGAACTGTGAAGACGAGGTTGGCTTAATTCAAGTTATAGTTCAATTTTTTTATTTTTTTTTAATGTGACCCCGTCAACTTTATTATAAATTGATTAGTATCGAATCAAAATAAAAGCTCTACTTCTTTGTTTTAATATATATTCCGAACGTTTTATCAATATTTATTCCACAAGGATTTTAAAAAATATATATATATATTCCAATAAAAAATAATTAATAATTAATTATTATACGATTTTAAAAATAAATCTAATTTTTTGTCTATTTCTTTCCAGTACACACACACAGAGAGCATAGGACAGTATCTCCCGAAAGACTGTGCCGAGGCTTTGGTTTTCCCAGCGTTTCAAATCCAAACATTGCTATCGAGACGCGGTACTACGTGGGAAGAAGAGATGGTCTCCATCAAAACTGACAGGCATGCGACTCTGTCATCAAAATCAAACGTAAATATTAGTAAACTTTCTTTCGTACATAAAAACAGTTACAGTTAATTAGATTTTATAAGAACATGACAAACTTGATGTCTTTCCAAATCCTCTACCTGGTACAGCTCTATGAGCTCTCATCGACACAAAACCACCTCACGCTTATGCCCAGCTCACTTCGGTTCTTTTACTCTTACTCACTCCTGTTATTTCTGATGGGCACCATCTATCCTTACCCGCACAATTTACCACAGGACATTATTACACATAGCCGTAACACACCCGCCTCCCTGAGCCGATTAGGAGGCGATTCGGAGAAAAATATATGTGGGTGAAAGCTGAGCTGGAGAGTTAACGTCACAGTTATGCAAGAACATCTTTATTTTAGATGAAAGAAACCTGTTTCGTCAAGCATCGGGTTAGATGACATATCTTTTTTTTTCAACGACATTGGAGTGATTCCTACTTGAAATGTTCGTGAGCCCTGCTTTTTCAACAACAACAACAAAAAATGCCCATATTTCGAAGCAGTTTCTTATAATCTCAGAGTTGGTAAATTTTGCAGTAATGGTGTTTTCACATCTAAAAGATATTTACACAAACGTCTCTTTAAAGCTCTCTGTACTTTATCAAATGAATGGCAATGGGTTGCAGTTTTTCTGACATTTAAGGTCATCATTTATGATTTTGCTCGTAGGTCTTTAGGATCTCATGTTCTGATTTTGCAAATAGGCTAAGAAATGATTTTTAATGCTACTTTAGCTAAATCTTACAATTTCTGAATTATTAATTCTATTTTAAACTTTTAAATAAATGCATGCCTTCATTGCAAACTTTACAAGGCAGCAACATGATATATTTGCAATCTTTAAATTTACCAATTAGTAATAAAATTTTATTGATTACTTAAGCTCTTTTGTTACTAAACAATTAAAAGTCTTACAATAGTATGTAATTTTAAAAAAAAATAAAAAAAATAAAATCTGGAGTAATTTTAGAATTTAAAAATATGAACAGCTTAGAAGCTCACAACCCAGGTCTAAACCCGGCACGGAAAACTTACCGAACTCAGCTTGAACATTTCTGACAGCCATACATTAAATCATCTTTGTAAAGTAATAATCAATTGTTTACCGAATTTTAGCTTACTAGATCTTCTGGTATTTGTGATAGTTTTGTACATTATTGGAACAAGAAAATGTCATTCATTTTAGATTTAATAACAATAATATATTTGTTGATAATATTTTTCTTTAAGATAATAAAATATTGTTATATGTATTTATTGACTTGCTAACAAAGCATATTTTTTAAATAAACAAATTCTAAAAAAGAAACTATTTAATGAATATTGTTAAATCATCAAATTTATCTACGTTCAATTTCAATCTGTCAAATTTTCTGATGTCAATCAAATCAATTTTCATTTTGTTTTCAATTTTTTTCTATGATATTACCAATTAAAAAAAAAAAGAAATATGTTTAATTTAAATAATACGTTATATAATAAATGATCCTATCTATTTAATCATCTATTTATTTACTCATCTATTTATTGACCTATTTACCCATTCATTTACTTATCTATTTACTAATCTTTTTACTGATCTACTTACTCATCTATTTACTCATCTATCTACTCATCTATTTACTCAACTATTTACTTATCTACTTATCTTTTTACTCATCTATTTACGCATTTATTTACTCATCTATTTAAAGCAATTTTTAGAGCACCACGTGACCCATTTGAGCTTCACTGCCTCGAAATTGGACGCCAAAAATCTGTTTCGTTTCGTCAAACAAGTAAGGTCATATGATACTCGAGGAGATGGTGACATTGTTTTCATGTGCAGGTCAGTACTATTTCTGATATGTTCTATCATTCTATACGTAGGGTTTGGAAGGGGGTGCGGGCCATACCAGGTGACATCATTTCAGTGGTGAAACCTAGATGAACCATTGCATATTTACTAAGCACTCACTGATGGGTCTAACAAAGTTTTATAAAAAGATAACCTATCATATGTAAATTTTCCACAAACGTAACCAAAACAAAAAGCGTACTTTATTAATAGTTCGAGGATGTTGCGTAAGAAATGAGGGGACTTTAAAATAAGGTCAGAAAAATATCGTTTCGATCATGATACAACGCCGATTGAAGCGTTCGGTAACTTTCGTAAGTGAAAGGAGGCTATATTTATCTAAATCCACAGAAATAAAGCTTTCCATTGATATCTTATACGATGTGTTCGGCGATTCTATGTACATGAATCGCATTGGCAAAAAAAAAAGTTAAATGATTTAATGACTTATTTGTAGGTTAAAAAAGTAATATTTTACAAAAGACCTAATATCTTTAAAAATTTAAAAATTTTATTTATTAAAAAAAAAAAAAATAGTTTTTGAAATAAAAAATATTTAAACCAAGAAATACTCAAAAATAAATGTTTCCGCCGATTCATCACGAGCACCAGCATTTAGGACTAATGTCATACAACTCAAGTTCTTCTACATGCTCTCTGTGATTTCACGTTCATTTATTTCTTTTTACCTTTGGGCTGATCTACGCGAGGAAGCTAATCTTCTACTGCAGTATCTGCAGAACAAATGCAAGAAGCCAGTATAGGAGCTGCTCATTCCTGCCCCAGACAATCAGGGACTGGAACAATCTTTCAAAAGGAACGGTTGAGGCAACAACACTAGACACATTTGTGTCTATTGCCTCCAGCCTTCAAACCCCTAATGCATGATTTCCTCATCAACACCAGTAACAGACACATTGCAAATCCCATCTACATGCATAGGAGCCAAAATGATCAATAAATTGGTCGTGGGCCCTAAAGATATAGAAGAAGAAGAAGTGGTGACAAACCTAGAGGCCTTACGATTGTTTCTGCACGAGAAGCACAATCGCTTGGTGGAAAATGCTACTGAAAATGCACTTTTAAAATCAGACGAATGTCGAGTTTTGGTAGATTAAGATTTGAGAAGAGATTGGCAGGAGAACTGGTTACTATCCACCACTGAATCTATACAAAATGTTTGTTTGTTTTAATGTCTTAATGCTATTTTATGTTGCATGATTTAACCCCACAGAGATGGCGCTCGTTACAGCGGTCTTGCAAGTGTTCTGATAAACCTGTTGGACAGACTGGACAACAGCTTATATTTGAATGTTCCTTTGGTTGTTGGTTCAATCAAGTCTATCAGACCACAGGTCATTCCAACACTGGTAGGTCAAATCTAAAGATCCATGTATTATAGTTTTTTTTTTAATTAACAACCATGTGCGATAAAATATTCGAAAAGAATTTAAGTTAATTATATTTGAATAGATTTTAAAAGGTTACGTTCATTTAGAAAGGTTATAATATTAAGTTAATATTCTTTAAAAAAGAACAACAAAAAAAAAACAAAAAAAACACATTTGTTCTGGTAAATTTTGAAGTGAAATGCCCAAATATTTTTTCTAAAATACAAAAGTATTAATATGTGAGTCATGGCAGCGCCAGGTATATCGATAACGGACTATGAAGCATATTTTTAAAAAAAAAATAGAGATCAGTTGATTGACAAAAAATATATTATTTTAGTTGCTCTTCACTCTTATGTTAAGCATTAAAATGTGAATAGTTCTGGACAATACATCTCATCGGATCAATAGGTAACTATTCATCACTATATGACTATCAATACACAACTCTTCATCAATATACCATAGGATCAATACACAACTCTTCATCGGTATACCATAGGGTCAATACACAACTCTTCATCAGTATCCCATAGGATCAATAGTTAACTTCTCATCAATATCCCATTTGATCAATACTTAATTAATCATCAATATCCCTTAGGATCAATACAGAACTCTTCACCAGGTCTTGAAAATGTACGTGGGATAGTAATCTTACACAAATGACATGACGCCATTTAAAATACAGGGCAATATGGTGCAAAATACGAGAGGAGGACCTCGACCATCAACACAGGGTAATGATATATGCCTAATGACTAATGAAATCAAGACTGAAGATACTACAGAGGATCTTTGAAGAAAGTATTTTCTCTCTATCTTCAGCTGTTGTATTTGTTGGGGGAGGGGGGTGGGGGACAGTTATTTGAAGGAATGAGTGACATCAACACAGAAACTTGATAAATCAATGTCGATAAACTACCGACACAATGTTTATAATCTACGTTAAGCAAAGTTGTACAGATAATATATACAATTTATTTTGCAAAAAAAAATAAAAAAAATATACCTATAAATAAAATCATTTATAACGTAAGAAAATAAAAAGAAATTGGTTTTAAATTATTTTATAATCCTTGAATATATCTATTAAACTACAATATAAAGAATGGAACTTTGTAAATAAAATAAAAAAGAATTTTGTTAAAATCGTTTAAAGTAGAAATAATTTAATATATAAAAATATATACACGTATATATATANTCTCTATCGATATATATATATATATATATATATATATATATATATAGTGTATAAATATATATGATTCGAATTTTTTGTTTTTGTTTTGATATAGTGACCAAATGTTTAGAAAAAAAAATAATTTGTATAAATGAACTTATATAAGAAACGAAGAGTATTTTAAATAATTCATACCCGATTAAGCCTTATAGCGATTTAATCAAACAAACAACCACAAATATAATAAAAGCATCATGAAAAAAAGACACTTAGAAAGGGAAGCCTTAAAGGGAATCTTTGTTCTGCTAACCCATACATTTTCGTTAAAATACGTTTTATTATTTTTCGCCATTCAGATTTTTTGTTTATGAGCAAGAATTGTGTAGCATGATAATGTAAATCAAATTGAGTGTTTCAAATGAATAAATAAATGTAAGGTTCCCAAATGTTAGTTTGTACAAATTATAATAAAAATATAATATTAATATTAACCTGGTGGTAGTTTTTTTTTCCACAAAACTATTTATCTTTGCCTAACCGTTATTGAATTGTTATTTTTTTGAAAAATATTGTACAAGTAGGTCGCCATCAGGCCGTGACACGTGCTTGCGGAGCATTATTCACATTTCATGCGATGACAGCAGACATTTAGCAATAATGAACATCGGACAGCCAACCAAGTGATCAAAAGGCAAATTTAGGCATTAAAACCGAAACCAAAGCCGAAATTCTGCCGTCATAGCTTAAAGTTAGAGATGAGTTGTGTCTTGATTAGGTCTACGTAAATCGAACCAAAACTTGTTAATGACGAGTATTCATATAAATAAATATAAAAATAAATACATAAATATATATATATATATAAATATCCCCCGTCATCAGGCACGGAGAGGATCCTCACTCTAAGACTCAGAACAGCTGCGGGCCCAGCAACCGTTCTTAGTGTATATGCCCCAACTCTCTGTTCAACTCCGGAAGAGAAGGACCAGTTCTATGGAGCCTTAGACCAGGCAATAGCCAGCATCCACAAAGACGAGGCAATCTACCTCCTGGGAGATTTCAATGCTAGAGTGGGGAGCGACCACGAAGCCTGGCCCACATGCCTTGGACTCTTTGGAAGAGGAAAGATAAATGAAAATGGACAGAGGCTTCTGGAATTGTGCTGCTCACGAGGCTTGTGTGTGACCAACACTTACTTCAAGTGCAAGGATATACATCAAGTATCTTGGAGACACCCCCGATCCCGCCAATGGCACCAGCTGGACCTCATCATCACCAGGCGTGCACAACTAGCTAGCATCCTACTCACTCGCAGCTACCACAGTGCCGACTGTGACACGGATCACTCCCTTGTCGCCAGCAAGGTACGAATAATGAGGAAAAACTCGTACCACTCCAAGAAAAAGGGATGTCCACGTATCAATACCTTCTGCATGAAAGACCCTGCGCTAACGCAGCTGTTCACAGACAAGGTGAAGGAAGGTATCTCAAG